TGTGTGGACACCCTGGCCTAGCTGATTCAGGGGGCCTGGGTGGGGCCTGGGACGTGTGCTTCTCCGAGGGGCTGCTGCGGGTCGGCGGCCAGCACTCCGAGAGCCGCTGCCTGGAGGAGACCCAGACGGCCTCCTTGCAAGCACTGCCCGTGCCCTGCCCGGCGGCCTCACAACCTCTGCTCTTCCAGTTCCAAACACTTCCCTCTCTCTAGACAAGGTCAAAACCGAGAAATGATGCCCCGGCATCTCCTATTACACTCGCCGACCCGAGCAGCCAGAGCAGCCAGACACTATGTCTCTCAAATTGACCCCGGGGCGGGCGGCTGGGGGAGGGGAGCACCTGTGGCCAAGGCCTCCCCTGCAGCGTGAGAGGGGAGGGAGGGTCAAATTCTGCCTTTAAATGTCTGTGGGGGCTCAAGGGAGGGCTTCAGAGGGGAGAGAGGCTGGGTCTTAGTGGAGGCAGAGGGGTGACTGCATTAACGAGACAATAAATAAGACACAGCAAATGCCCCCGGAAGAAAAAACGAGCAAAGGACAAGAAGAGGGTATTTCACACACGAAGAGTACGGACAGCCAGGAAAGACATGAAACCAGATGAACGTCATTAAAAAGTGAATGACTACCCCAGTCAGATGTCATTTTTCACTTAGGTTGGGCGAGATGAGAACCCCCCGCCCCCCCAGCCTAGGGGATGGTGGGGCGGGGCGGAACGAGAGTAAGCTGGTGAGGGGTTCGAGTCGGTACATGCTGTCCCCTCTACGGGCTCACCTCCAGAAGACCTCCAACGGCAATCACCGATGAGCGCAGACGTGCGCCACGATGCCAGAGGTTTTCATAAACACACAATATGGTTCTATCCTGTTGTACACTCAGAACCGCCATACGACAGGACCCCGTGTAACTGTTCTGGTGAGGTAGTTATGCTCAGTGACAGAAAAACATTCACAGGTACAGGAAGTAAAGGTTCTCGCACGGCTTGGGCGGTGCGAGCCCATTTTTCTAAAAGCGCACACTTGCGCATGACCACAAATATGGAAAGAAACTGGTACGGAAGGACACGGACTATAAAACTAACAGGATTTGGGGTAATTTAAACTTTTTTTTCCCGTCTTGCCTCATGTTGTTTTTCTAGAAGGAACAAAGGTCAGGCTGGCTTGCTGTGGAAGGGCTTTCCCGTAGAGGGAACAGTATTCACAAAATCACAAGACTGTAAGAGCCAGGGCATGCTGGGAAGTGACAAGCAGCTCAGTCGGGCCTGAGAGGAGGGTGAGTGGACAGCCGAGTGGCTGGGGAGGAGGAGGACAGGTCCCTGAGGAGACTTGGGAGCTGCAGGCGGGGTGTGCGCTTTGACAGGACAGTGCAGGAGGGCAGAGGCTGATTCCTGGGCCCTATGGCGTCTGCAGAGGACCAGACGCCAGGCCAGAAAGCAGGGCAGGGCTGCATGGCAGGGCTAGCTAGAACTGTGGATGGACACGCAGCAACAGATGCATGTCCCCAACACAGGCGCTGGGGCCTGGCAGCCAGAAACACCCTGAATCTTGAGGCCAGCCCGTCAAACCTTCCCAGCATCCTAGCCACCATCCGGTCCTCACTCCTCCTGTCGCCCATGACTGGCCAATGGCTGGCACTCGATAGATATTTGTTGAGCAAATGAATGGCCGTGCCGATTAGCATTTCCCCCTTCACTGGGCGTACTCATTCATTCATTCAACAGGCACTGATTCTGACTGTATCTAAGGAGCTAATAGGGTCCCCGCCTCTGAAAACCATATGGACCTCCTGGACCAGAAAGTTCTAACTTAGTGCAGTGTGGAAACCCACCCAGCCATCTGCGCAGTTGCTATGGGAACCCAGACAAGGAGCGTCTAGCGCTGACACAGCTGGGCCAGGAAAGGTGACCCGAAGCAAGGAGGGCCCGGGACTGGCAGTGACAGGGGCACATGCAGACTGTTTAGACTCCTTTGCCACAGTGAAGAGAGCCTTCTGGAGGAAACATGGGTGGCTGGTTAGGAGGCCAGAATGCCAGTGCAGGCAGAAGACAACATGGCCTCATCTGGATCTGAGGCGGGTAGTGGGGCGGGGGAAGGGGTGGAAGGAAAGGGATGGAAGCATCCAGAAGAAGGAGTGCCAGCCAGTCATGCTTAGATTTCTGACTGGAGTCACTGAGTGAACACTGGGGCCACCTGGTAAGATGCAGAGGCTGCGGAAAGGCTGGGGAGAGACTGAAGGTGAGGGGTGGAGGGGTCTGAAGGTCGGGAGAACGTTCTCGTTGAAGCACAGGTGGACGACTGAGGCTACAGGAAAGCTTCGGGGGTGCATCCGCTCTCCCTGGGGGAAGGAGCAGCTTGGGAATAACCCTAAGGACCATCTAAGTTAATGGCCAGGAAGGAGCTGCAAGAGGGAAAGCAAGGCCTCAGGGCTGGGAGAAAGCCAGGTAGGTGGTTCATGGAAGCCAAGGAGGAGGGGAAGCTTCCAGAAGGAAGAGAAGACCATCAACTGACGGCTCTGTGAATGGGAGGAGAGGGAGGACAAAAGCTAGAGCAGAGAGGAAGGATACTGGCGACACCTGGCAACGTCTAGGGGCATTTTTTTTTTACTCGACACAACTTGGAAGATGCCACTGGCATCTAGCAAGTGGAAGGGATGCCGCTCCACATTCCGCAACGTAAGATGCAACCTCTGCCCCCAAGAATTGTCCAGTCCCAAGTGTCTTGAGTAGAGAAAACTCTGAGCTGGAGGGTCAGGAACCTCAGCAAGGATTCTTTTAAAGTGAACAGACACGAGCGTGTCTGAACGCTGGCGAGGTGATCGCAAAGAGATCTGGGCAAGCAGGTGCTCGCCTAGCCTGAGGTTCGTGGAGACGGCTGTTATTTTCCCAGCGAGGTGGGAGGTAATCACCGGCCTGGGGTGAAGGGTGCAGACGCGGTTGCTGTGGGGGCTGGGGATGCCTGCGTTGTGGGCTGAGCTCCGCTGGGAAGGGGCTTTGAGAGGGCACCCATCTATCTGCCTGGACGCAAGACTCTCTCCAGGGTGGGCTTCGTTAGCCCGGCTAGGAGGGAGCAGCTGGACGAACATTTCCCTGCCTGGGGTTTCACCAGAGCCTAACAGAGGACAGAGGGGCCGTGCAGCTGGCGAGGTTTCCGCACAACAGCGGCAGGAGGAGAGAGGCGGATGCGGTGCGCCTCTCATGAAGGTGGGCTCTTTTCAATTTAAGGAACTGCTAGCAAGACGCAGAGCTGAGATTGGAGCCTGCGACCACAGACTCCACAACTCTTCGTACGTTACACTTATCTTGCCTGAAGAGGAGGAAAAGTTTATCTCCGAACTGAAATAATTTCCAAATTACACTTTGTTGCCTTTACCCCATTCCCGAAACCAGTTCTCTCTGGACTGATCTTGCCAAATCTAGGTGTTCCTATCATCAGAGTTCACATTCCTTGGAAACCACAACAAGTGAACAAAGAGTCAGGTACCGTGAGAATGCTGGCAAAATTGGACTGTAATGTTCAGGAATATCCACGGGGCTAAAAATTCCCTTCCGTCAGAACATAAGAGGAGAAAGGCAAGACTTGTTAGTAGCATAGGAGAATTTTAAAACACCTCTGAACAAGGACTCTTCTGCAGATGGTCTCCCGAAACAGGAGAAAGATAATGGCTTCTAGAACATTCTAACACCGTTAAAATTTGTGTATTATCTACAATTCCTGGTTAGAAGATGTTTATTAAATCACAGACTCAGAATTGGAAGAAGAAAACTTCTGAAGTCAGTGCCCCCTCTGATGAACTAATTCCCTACACAGTAGTCAGCCGGCCTCGCCAGGACGCAGCCCAGAGACAGGCAACTTCAGGTTCCTGGCAAAAGCTGAGAATCGATGAAGTAAGACGATGGGTACATAGGGCTTAATATATTACTTTCATGCAGATCAGAATACCAGATATTATCTTATTTCCATAATAAAGTTTTTCTTGTGGTTTTTTTTTTTTTTTTTTAACTTTTAAATTAGTTTCCAGTGCAGAGAACCAGTCTCACAACCCAGGGTGGCAGCCAGAGCCCTCTTTGGTGGGTGGCGGTCAGGGAGGGGGGCGATTGTCTGCCCATTCCTCAGCTCACTGGAGCAGAGAGGAAGAAGGATGAAGGAAGAGAATGGGGTGGGGGTGGGGGAGAATAAGGGTAGAAAGAAAGGGAGCAGGAGACAGGAGGAGGAGGAGGACAGCTCCTTAAAAGCAACGTTCCTCTGTAGGACAGAAGGAAGGAAGTGCTTCGTAGCACCTGATCTTTCCATGTTTTCCTCCTTGAAACCATACTCTCGGGTTGGAAGTTGTGCCGTAAGGACAGCCTTCCCAGGTGTCTGCAAACCCTTATGAGGCAGGTAAGCACTAGGACGTAGGAGCCACCATCCCCACTTTAGGTGTGGGGACACTGAGGTTTAAAGGTCGCACGTGGAGGCAGTGGAGAGCAGGGCTCTTAGCTGGCATCCAATGAGACAGCCTGCCTGTCGATCCACGGGGAGCCCGCTCTCACCCCCCAAGAGTTCAAGCTCCGCGTGTTTCCAATGTCCCAGCTGATGGTGTGATGGCAAGCAGCACAGGGACACTCTGTGTTCTGCCACGGGACTGACCGTGCACGGGGACCCAGGAAGACAGGGAAGGACGTGCCTGGACCAGAGTCCCTTCCACGCACGGGACTGAGCCAGGCCGGGCTGTCACGCACGTTCTTTGCTCTCTTCCAGCTGTCAGAGCCGTCCCCATTTCTGGTGTCCCCCTCCCCCCCGCCATCTCACTCTGTACATGCTCTGTCTCAGGAGGCACTTTTCCTGTTTTGGAAACCGATGTCCAATCTGCCACCAGGGCGGCGGCACAGCACAGTCCGAGATAACTACAGAACCTGACAACTGTCATCGCAGGGCTGTGGCTCTTCTGCCCTGAGGAACCGCGGCCACAGAAGCCGGTGCTTAGAGGGACCCCCAAGTCCCCCCTATGAACCCTCTCCGTTTCTTTACCTGCTACTTTATCCCGAATGAGTTTTGCAGACTCGACTTCCCCGATACTGCTGAACAGACTCCGCAGCTCATCCTGGGTCATGTTCTGAGGCAGGTAGTTGACAATTAAATTCGTTCTCCCGATATCATCCCTGCAGTCTTCGGCCATGTGGTCTTCATAACCATTAGACATTGTATTTTTTAAAAATCTGCGGAGGGGGAGAAAAACCAAGTCAATTCCACATGTCCGTACTGCACAACATTAAGGCAAAACGAATGACTGGCACTTAGGGTTTTTTCTTTTCAACACTGCAAGTTCAACTGCACATAAAAACCCGCACGTGGAGGTCTACGGCGGCCTAATTCATAACGGCGGCCTAATTCATAACTGGCCCGCGGCTGGAAGCAGCCCGCATGCCCTTCAGTAGGCGAAGGAAGGACAAACTGCTATTGTCCGCGGCCTGCACACAATGGACCGTTATTCGGTGACAGGAGGAAATGAGCTCCGGAGCCAGAGACTGGGGGAGGCCTTAACTGTGTATCGTTAAGTCTGAAAGGCGACACACCAGGCGACACCGGTTATAGGACATCGTGGAAGAGATGAAACCCAGAGTAGGTAAGAATACCAGTGGCTGTCAGGGCTCAGAAGGAAGGGCGGGATGCGCAGAGGAGCGCAGAGGACTCAGCGTGGTGAGGCTATCTGGGTCATCCTGTCATGGTGCATACAGGTTAGCACGTATCTGGCAAAACCCAGCAAAGGTGCACATGGAGACCGAACCCGAAGGCAAACTATGCGCTTGAGCTGGTCCATATCCACACTTGCTCGTGGATTCTAGCAAAACGCCGCACCGACACACGACGTCCCTGAGAGGGAAGACTCTGACGGACGCCCGCTCTGTACTTCTTCGCAGTCCTTCTGTACACCTGAAGCGGCTCTAAAACAACAACCGTCTCTACTTACTAGGGCGCCTCAAAAACGCTACGAACGGGGGCGCCTGACCAGCTCAGTTGGTGGAGTGTGCGACTCTGGGTCTCAGGGTCCTGAGTTCAGGCCCCACGCTGAGTGCGGAGCTGACTTAAAAACAAAACAAAACACCGACAACCAATTCCAGCACCATCATTCAAGCTCCTGCAAAAAGTGTTCGGGTTGTCTCGAGAGCTTTCCAACGCTTCCCGATCGCCTTCTCGCATCTCCGCGCACCACAGTGCAGCTGGGTACTGAGGAGGCCGCGATGTGCACCTGAGCACCCCGACTCCGGCGCCCCATCTCTGTCCTCAAGCAGGGAGACAATGGTTCCCTGCATCCCTCTATCCCAAAGGCCACGGCGACTGAGCTGGTGAAGAGGTCTGGGTTTCTCTACCAGTTGGAGGAACGCGGTCTTCAAAGCTTGCAGGCTCTGGAATGCCCTTAGCCACCCGCAGAGGTCTTCTCTCTCAGTGGCAAACACCACGGCACAGCGAGGGCTTCAGAGAGAGTCTGGATCAACGCGGCCGAGGGCATCGGGACCGCTCTTCTGAAAGCACAACTCGCGCTGGGCTTGCTCACAAGTCCTGCTGCGCCCAGCCACGTCATCTAATGTCCCACGTCCCTGACTCTAAATATGCGGGCGCTGACCCCCACGGGGCTGAAGTGTCATCAGCGGAAAAAGGCCCCGTCGCCTGCCAGCCAGGAGACCTCAGGGGCAGCCCACCCCGTTCTCCAGATGCCTCTGCCCGGCCCTGCTTTTAGGCTTGAAAACCCAGTGCCCGCTGTCAGGAGCACTCAGCCTTCTTTAAAAATAGCCTTGCCAGTGGTTATATAAAAACCTGAACACAGCTCCCACCTCCCCCTGAGTCAGCACTGAGAGAGGACTTAGGTGTGGTTTTGAGTTTGGGTTTTTCTTCCCCTGCTGGAAACAGGTGCGACTTCTCTCCTTCCTGCCTCCTGATTTGCTTCGGACTGTACACAACATGCGAAGTTAGTGCACTCTCCCAGTATTTCTTTTATTTACCTGGAAATGTTCTATGCTCCCTGTTCTTTATAAAATAGGTTAGCATCTAAAGCCATAAAAGAAAATACTGGGAAGTGAGACTTCCTAAGATTAAGAAGTTCTGTGTGGCAAGAGGCATCACACACAGACAAGCAGCGGACTTGGGAGAAAGTGCTCGCTACCTACTACATTATTTAGGCCGGCGGTTCTTGGCGTGGGTGATTTGGCCCCCCAGGGGACACTGGGTCGTGTCTGGAGACATTTCTGGTTACCACGACTGCGGGTGGTGATGTGCCACCGGAACGTAGTGGGGAGAGGGCGGTGGTGCCACAAGGCCCCGGATGGCCCCCACAACCAAGAATTGTCCAGCCCCCAACGTCAACACTCCCAACGCTTAGACCAGTTGATTCTGAGCATCTACAAACTCACCAGAAAGAAGACACATCCTTAACAGAGAAGGGGACAAAGGATATGAGCTGCAACTAACAGATGCCAGCGATTCATGCTAATAAACCAAGAGCCCAAACTCACAAATAATGAGGAAAATGTGAAGTCAAAAGAGATGCCACTGGGGCACCTGGGTGGCTCAGTGGGTTAAAGCCTCTGCCTTCAGCTCAGGTCATGATCCCAGGGTCCTGGGATCGAGCCCCGCATTGGGCTCTCTGCTCAGCGGGGAGCCTGCTTCCTCCTCTCTCTCTGCCTGCTCTCTGCCTACTTGTGATCTCTGTCTGTCAAATAAATAAATAAAATCTTTAAAAAAAAAGGGAGAGAGATGCCACCTTCTGTCGGTCAGATACAAGACCACCCAGGATGGACAAAATCTAGCGTTGTAGAGAAGGATAAGGCAGACGGACACCCTGGTATGCCGCTGATACAAGCATGAAACGCTAAAGGCTTCTGGAGGAATGCCCTTGAGTTTCACACCAATGCCACCCTCTGCTTCAGGACCGTCGGACCTGTTCTCCAGAAATAATCACACACATGCGGGGAAGTATGTGTGAGGATCCCAGGACCCCATAGCAGGTACAAGTGAAATGCTGGGTATAATCTAAATATGAATTAAATAAACACCAATTTTTAGGAGAAAGCATGTGACCACCAGCATTAATGGGCTTAATCATGAAAAACTCCAGAAATCTGTTAATGCATCTGCAGCCGTGAGGCTTTCAGATAGATCATCAGCTCAAACACAAACACACACATTTGCTAAAGCCTGAACCCAAGTGCAAGGGCTAACTCTGAAAAATTAAAATGCACATTTGCTTGAAATGTGATTCAAACATTTCTCTTCTCCCTTCCTTTGTTTTTCTTCATTCATCCCTCCCTCTCCTCACCTTTGTTCTGAGTTAGGGACCTACTCTCCCGTCTTCTCCCTCCCCCTGCTTTCATGGATGATGAACTGAGCAATAACGACCCCATTCTCATTATTCAGAGTGGGGTGTCTTGCATGCCCAGTAAAAAGATGACTTTCTTAAACAGTGGATGGCCCACCATCTGTTTGTATAAATAAAGTTTTATTGGCACACCGCTATTCTCATTTGTTTATGTATTGTCTGTGGCTGCTTTTGCACTACAGTGACAGAGCTGAGTAGTTGTGACAGAGACCAGATGGCCCAAAAAGCTGAAAATATTTACCATCTGGCTCTTCACAGAAAAAGTGTGATGACCTCTGTTCTAAAATATAAAAAAAGAAATTTTCTAAGAGAAAATCTTTGTGACACGGGGTGAGGCAAAGATTTCCGAAATACCACACCAAAAGTACAATCCATTTTTTAAAAATGGACGAACTGGATACCATCACAATGTAAAACTTTTGCTCTGCAAAGCTTACAGGCTACGGAGAAGAAGAAAATATTTGCAAATCACATATCTGAAAAAGGACTTGCATTCCGAACATATATTAACTCTCAAAACTTAGTAAAAAGACAACGTTAATTTTAAAGATGACAAAAGACACGAACAAACAACGCACCAAAAGATATACGGATGGCAAACAGACACATGAAAAGACGTTCGACATTATTAGTTATCATGGAAGTGCAGATTAAAACTACATTAAGATACCATTACCCATCTGGAATGAGAATCAAGACAACGCCACCTATTTAGACCAAAATAAAACAAAAGCAGGCAGATGACAACAAAACAGACGTTATCAAGGATATGGAGAAACCAGAATTTTCATGCATAGCTGGTAGAAATGTAAAAATGTTAAAGTCGCTTTATTTTTTAATTTTTTAAAATTTTATCTATTTACTCAACAGAGCACAAGCAGGGAGAACGGCAGGCAGAGGGAGAGGGAAAAGCAGGCTCCCCGCAGAGCAGGGGGCACCCAACGTGGAACTCGATCCCAGGACCCCGTGATCACGACCCGAACGGAAGGCAGCCGCCCAACCGAGCCACCCAGGTGTCCCTTAAAGTCGCTTTAGAAGACGTAAGGGCAGTTTCTGAAACATACGCTTTCCAAGACCCAGCAATTCCATACTAGTAGTCATACAAGAGAGAAGTACAAAGCTACGTTCGTATAAAAACCCACACGCCAAGTGTTCACAGCGGCTTTACTCAGTCACACCCCAAACTGCAGCAGCCCAGATGCCCTTAGAGCCATCAGCGGCCAGACTAGGGGAGGCCACACACCGGAGCTCTGCTCCCAGTAAGAAAAGTGCTGCCATCCACGCAACTTGAATCAGTCTCAAATACACTCTGCAGAGTGAAAGGAACTTGACTCCGAGGCTCCGTAGTGTAAGGGCGCGTCCTGGCAAAAGCAGAACTGCAGGGATGGACCAGTGGTGGCCAGGGGCAGGGAGCAAGGGGGGCGCTGAGTACACTGGGGGAGCACAAGAGAGCACTTCTGTTTCTTGGGGACTGTACCTCCCATGTCTTGATGGTGGAGGTAGTAACACGACTTTACGCGTTTGTCAAAACTCAAAGAACCCTACACCAGGATTTCAAGTGAACTCGAAAATAAATTTTAAGATTTAAAAAGTGAGCCTTACTCCACAGCACTCGGGGGTCCTCCCAATGCCCCCCGTAAGGCTGAGCAGCCTCTGTGGACCCAGTTCTTAGGTCGACTGCCCACGACAGAGAAACCCAAACCCCAAACACAGCACAGCTTCTCAAGCTGTGCTCAAGGAGGAGCAGGGCCGTGCTGCCCTGCTCTCTGTGTTCCTCCCCGTGACCTTTCCAAATCCACGTCCCTAATCCCTGGCCAAGCCAGCTTCTGTCAAGCACCAACCACA